TTTTACATAGGCTTTTTTTATGAGGACACAGGGGCCCCATGATTCCCTATTGCCCGGGGGCCCCATGAGTTGTCAATCTGCCCCTGATATGTGCCATGGCACACAGACTGGTGAGGTGTGCTGAGTGTATTGGGGTGTTCTCTCTGTACATTGGGGTTGATTTACTAAAGACAAATAGGCTGTGCACTTTGCAAAGTGCAATTTCTCCTGAGCATAGTAAATGACCAGAAGCTCTGCTGACGTCCATCATCCAATCATGTTTAGGCCAAAAGTCTGTTCTTTTTTTATTTTCTGTGCACATGACTGGGTATTCTTTGCAAAGAGAAGCTTTACCTCATTTACTAAGCGCTGGAGCAACTGCATTTGCAGCATGTGATTGCACTTTGCAAAGTGCACAGTCTATTTGCCTTCACTAAATCAACCCCATTGTGTTGACAAATAGTGATGGGCCGAACACCCCCCTGTTTGGTTCACGGTCGAACATTCAAACCTACAGAATGTTCGACTGTGAACTTTGGACATGAACAATTTACTGAGCGGTATCGTTCCGAATCTGAGTATGAGGTAAGATAGCACTCAGTTACTAAAATACCACATGAATTATATTATTATGTGATGCGGCATTTTAGAAGTGAAACATTCATTATTGTTTCATCTGTCAGCTGGGATCCCCGCTGACAGCTGAATGTAAAAAGAATTGTCAGCATTACCCGACAATTACATTTTTTTTTTTAAACAACATGTCTTCCCCCCTCCCATCCATACCAAGCCCTTAGGGCCCGGTATGGATTTTGAGGGGAAAGCCCATGGCAAAATAAGAAAAAAAATGGCGTGGGGGTCCCCTCAAAATCCATACCAGACTCTTATCCGAGCTTGCAGCCCGGCAGGTCAGGAAGTGGGGATGAGTGAGTACCCTCCCCAAACCATACCAGGCCACATGACCTCAACATGGGGGGATGCTTTGAGGGAGGGGCCTCTTCCCCACAACCCAAGGCTGTGTTTGTGGGGGTCTGCAGGTGGGGGGCTTATCACAATATGGAAGCCTCCTTTAACAAGGTGCCCCCAGATCCCGTCCCCCCATGTGAATGAGTTGCGCTACCAATTCACAAAAAAAAGTGTAGTGTGAAAAAGACAGGAGACAGTCTTTGACAAGTCTTTTATTAAAAAAAATAAATAAATAAGTAATGTCTCCCGAAGTAGATCCAACATCAATCACGATGCCCACCGCTACCCGAAAAAAAAAAAAAAAAAAAAAAAACCACACCATTCCTCTTGCAATGCTGGCTCCTGCCGTCTGACTGCTGCACCGCAATGACAGTTCTTAAATATTGTAATCACGTCACAAGGGGGCGGGGTTCACCCCACCCCCTTGTGACGTCATCCTGTGCTGTGATTGGCCAAAGCATTGCACTTGACCTGTGGTCAGGTGCATTGCTTTGACCAATCACAATGCACTGTCAGAGCGCAGTGCATTGTGGGGCACGGCAGGCGAATAGCCTGCCAAACGCCCGTATCGTTCGTGTGTTTAGAGAACACATAAACGGTCAATGTTAGAGTCACAATTACATTCGACTCAAACATAAGGCCCAACACTGATGACAAACACTGGGTTGCTCCATTCCATATGCTGTGCAGTACATTACATAAGACACACAGCTATATAACTGCACAATGTTAAATACACCATACTGCTAAGCATAACAGGACTGTCATAATAGTAGACAGAAAATATTTGTAACACTGGGACTCCTGATTTTTACCTCATTCAAAGAGCAAACATATTTGTAGTATTTCTTTATTCTAATGTTGTTTAAATATATCAGAGGCTCTAGACACATTGGGGATGATTTACTGAAACTGGAAGATCTAGTGCAGCTGTGCATAGAAACCAATCAGCTTCCATTCTTTTTTTTTTGTCAAAGTTTAATTGAACAAGCTGAAGTTAGAAGTCAACCCATTCTGCTTAATAGAGATGGGATTCGCTGTTGTGATAGTGCGGGATTCAACTTTAGATGTTTACAGTTCAGCAAACTAAATAGGATGTTCCCCCATTTTACTGCCACAAAATTATAATGTGTAGGCTCCAAGCATCTTTAAATGATACGGTCCAAGTGGCAGTCTACCTCCTAGCAATCGAGGGTACTGTGCAAGTGTGCCCAACAAACTACATCATCAGTTGCTAGGAGGCCAGCAGCCACATAATCATTGTTTGATATGGTGTACCATGACCACCAATGATGGTTTTGAAAAAAAAAAAAAGTGGGGTTCCCCAAAATTTCTACCAGGCCCTTGTCCTAGAAAGAGGTATGGATTTTAAGGGGGGTCCCCCAAAGGCATGCGGTCCCTCTGCAAAGGGGTAGCCCATCAAAGCACCTTGTCCCCATGTGATGATGACAAGGGCCTCTTCTCCACAACCTGGGCAGAATCTGTAAACCTTAAAATAAAGGGCCCCACAAATACCATCTGCCCAAATGAATAATAAAAAGGGATATATTACCCCTTGTTACTTGTTCACTAAAAAAAAAAACAACTATTTTTTTGCTACAGTATTTATCAGCATGTTTATTTACTTTTTTTTTTTTGTGAGTAACCAGGATACTGCAGTATGTACCATTTACTTATTCATGAGAGGGGACAGTGTCTGGAGCCTCTTTGATTTTTTTAAAGGGGTTTCCCTCACAGACCTCTACAACCACGGAGCCAGGGTTGTGGGGACCTATGTTGAAGGTATGTAGCTTGGTAACTTGTTTACAAACAGAGAAACAGGGGGGAGTTTAATTTAGTGGGTAGCAATTTACATTTTTTTTTATTTCTTTGTAAAGTCACTTTTGCTTGTGTACATCCTATAGATGTACCACTTCACAGGTAGATTTAAGGCATCCCCAAGCATGTTATTTAAAGGAATTGTGTATTTTTAATGTTACCGTTTAAGCATTACACTGTTCAACAGGTAAAAGTTTTTGGGCATAAAATTAGCTAATCTTACATAATTTTGGGGGGGGGTGCTGAAAACGAAAATGACCCTAAAAAATGTTGATTGGCTCTAGTTTCCATGATATATATTCACCCATCTAATGACGTAAGCCATTCAAAATTATGATGCAACTTCAGCTGCATATTGCGCAATTGATACTGGTGACCAATAGAAAAATTGCATGTATACTGAGATGATGCAATATTAGCCTTTAATTGCATCACTTCACTGCATAAAAGCTGCAGTATCTGTAGCTGATTGTAGTTCGACAGCGTCTTTACATTTCGTTTTATGCTTATATAGGCTACTCAGTAATGCCTCGAACTTGTGTGAATAAAAGCAGATAATTTCTGCTATATCTGCGGTGAAATAACTTTTATCTCACAAAAAAGGAGGATAACAGGAATGATTAAGAAAGCCTACAACTTGTATTTTGGCTGCAAGATAGGAGACAGGACAAGAGCTGGCACCTACAAATGCTGCAATTCAAATTCTTGGGGGACGGCACTGGAGCAATGGTTGAATGGGGCCTTTTCGCTGTGCCAATGATTTGGAGAGAGCCAACAGATCATGTTATTTAGTTACTTTTTGTATGGTGCCTCCAATTGGGGCTAAATAAGAAGAAAAAGTTATCTGTGCACCATCGGTTGATACGTCCAGTTCCTCATGAGAAACAGGGGGGGAGTTTACCAATTCCTAAAGCACCAGAATCCTTACATTTTGGTTTAGTCAAGTGAGGAAAATGAAGCGTGTAGTCATGTGCAGTTGTGTAGCCCTTTTCCTCGAATACAAGAGAAAAGCCAAGAGAATCAAAACCGACACAAACTGAAGACAAAACTAGTGAGAATCCTAAGTATTTAAAATGCATCAACTTAGCTTATGGCTATAATTTTTTTGGTAATCCTATGCAATATATTATGCCATTTAGGCTTTGTTATGTAGTCAATATCACTTGCTTTATATTTGTGGAAAGACATCTATCTATATAATTATTGTGCATTATGTAGTCATTACGCCTATAGGAGAAAACTTTTCCGTTTACAGAAAAACTAGAGCCAATTGACAAATTTCATTGTTATATTTGAACTCAGAATGTGAAATTCATTAAGAAATGGATCCTTTTGTTTCCAAACTGGCAAAAAATAAAAATTTGTTGAACAGTGTTATTAAACAAATTGCTCCCCGCTGAACTGTATTTTTTAGGCTGTTTTTTCTTTAATTTGTACTAGTCCAAACTGATAGTACGCAGTCCCCCAAGCCCCAAGCCCTTTGTTTGACAAATCCCTAAATATTAGCCTAGAACGAGGCGAGAATTAATTTTAGCAAGATTTTCTCCCAGTGACTTTACAACGGTTTTCCAAACCTGCTCTCGATTCAAATCAAAAATCGATTTCCTCATCTTTGCTCATTAAACTTGAATTCTGATTTTGGTCCTATTTTTGGAACAACATCTGATAAAGTTTAAGAAGAAGATGTCAAGCAAGGTGCCAAATCCATAGAATAGCCAATTAAGCTGAAGACTGAAATGATAAGGATGGTTGCCCTGGAGCATACATTTTACTAAGCAGGTCACTCATTTCAGCTCTTTATATATCTAAACTGACACATTCCCTAAAACGGAGTCTCATTTCTATAAGAACATGTATATGTCAAAAGCTAAAGAAAGTGTGCCAAAACAGCCAGAGTTGGCTCTCTGTAACCTTTTCCTTTTGTTCTCTGCAGCTGAAACAATCCCACATAGATCTAGCATTCCCAGGACAAAAACACAAGTAAAGATAGACTGACAGAAGAGCCAGCTACATGGAGTGCAACATGAAAAATGCAGAAAGGTAGCAAAATGTCTGCACAGCGTGAACAGAGATTCAAAGCCATTGCGTCCTGAGCAACACCATGCTTTGGCATTTTTTACATACAGTATATGTCTTTTCTCATGTGTGCTAAGATGATTGATGCCTATCTATGCCTAGAGCGAGTAAAGTGTTTTTCGTAATTGATATAATCAGGGCTAAAGAATAAAAATACATACTGTATGTTAATGTTATCTACAGTTATCAAGCTGTGTCCATATTCATAAGGCATAATAAACCTACAAAAGCTTTCCAGGTAGAGAGAGGAAAAGCTAGCAATTGTCAATTCAAGAATTACTCTCACTCTTTGTCCTGGGAAATCTAAATTTTTACCAGTATTTTCCAGAGTACCCAATGTCAAAAGAGGATTTCCCTCACTTTGGGGCATTTTATCTTCACTTTCTGTCTTATAACGCAGCAGGACGTGGATGGAATTCTTCCCCAACCAAGATACAGCTATAACACCCTGGTCACATCGGGTGCGGCCTCACATGCGATTTGCATGCCATGCAACTTGCAAATCGTATGCCAAGTCACACCCTATTGTCTGAAATTACAGCGGACAAATCAGTGTGGTTCTGACTTGGTCAGAGCCGCACCGATTTCTAAAGTAGTACGTGTACTACTCTTGGTGAGATTTGCATAGACATCTGTGTCAGATGTCTTGCAAATCACACTTGAAATCGGCATCTCACCCGACTTTGAAATCGTGTGACTTCACTGTAAGTCGCACGATTTCAAAGTTGGGCTTAATGTGACCGAGGTGGTTAATTGATCAAATGGAAGGTCTGTGCTTTGAGTTTCAATTTGTTCATTGTAGTTGCAGCAAATGATCATTTGAATGGTCATACTGATACATATATGGCCATGTTTGTTTATTTATTTATTTATTTAAGGTACTTATATAGTGCTGTCAATTTATGTAGTGCTTTACATACTGTATATATTGAACATTCACAGGAATCCCGAATCCTCAAGGGGTGTACAACCTAAAGTCCCTAACTCACATTCATACATACACATACTAGGGCCAGTTTAGACAGGAGACAATTAATCTACCAGCATGTCTTTGGAGTATCTGGATGTCTTTAATTAAGAACCGTGAAGGAAACTTTTTTTTTTTTGCAAACTAAAGTGATCGATTTAAAGGGTACAGTAAGTTCACCTTTTGTAACGTGTTACACCCATATTCAGGGTATAACTTGTAACATGTTATGAATGGACAGCCCCCCGCACCCCCCCAATCCCTGTTGTGACAGATAGTTGGGGATCTTCTCCTCCCAGCCGCTAGCTGTCACAATTTAAAAAAAACACAGCCATGCTGGGCTCCGCCTACCTGGCCACGTCACTCATTCACAGTATTCTGTGAATAGGAAAACTACAAGTCCTGGCAGCCTTTGCAGCTGTCAGCTTGTATTTTTGAATTAACTACCTCAGCACTCCACAGAGCCATCATAGTTCATTGAGCCTTCCTGTCAGTAAGTATCTGCTTGCCTATAATGGATGTACAAGCAAGCAGATACAGTGACAGGTCAGAGGGAGTCCTGCATGGCACCAACAATCTGCAGATCACTGGTGCAATGCTTTACAGGCTCCAGAAATAAATAATAAATGCACATTTTTTTTATCTGCAACATTTTTTTTATCTTTTAAGCATTGTTATTGATAATAATATTTATAGTGTTATAATAAGGGGATTGGTGGAAGAAATCTTCCAGCTTACTGGAGCAACATTCCTTTTTGTCACAGATGGTTGCTGTCTTCCCCATCAAGTAAGTGTGGACTGCACAAAAAGTCTTGATACAATGACAGGGAACAAATCAAAGTACTGAATTGTTGGATAGAAATATGCTGCATAGACAAGCAGAGGACTGGATAAGAGAATGTAGGCAACATTGTATCACAGGCAGAAGTTTGCAGTAGGTGATTAGATTAATTAGACATGTGAGATTTGTTTCATTCCAAATCAAAATTCAGCCAAAACTTTCATTATTCGGAGATTTGGGTGTATCTGAATTTAAGAATTACAATAGTAATGAATTTACACAAATCTGAAATAACAAAACATTTCATTTGAAATAATTAATTGTCCAAATTTAAATCAATTTCAGAACAAATTTGAAAAGGAAATCAAATTTGAAAACAAATTCAAACTGTAAACAAATTGCTGATTTCCTTCAAAGACTGTGAAGTTTATTTACTAAAACTGGAGCACTCAGAATCTGGTGCAGCTGTTCATGGTAGCCAATCAGCTTCTAACTTCAGCTTGTTCAATTAGGCTTTGAAAAATAAAACCTAGAAGTTGTTTGGTTTCTATGCAGAGCTCCACCAAATTCCGAGTGCTCCAACTTTAGTAAATGACCCCTGTGTGAATTAGAATATAGCCGTCTTCCAAAATTCGAATTTCCCAAAAAATAATAAACCAGAAAAGAAAATAGAATGTAATAGAAAAGAATAGAAAATAAAGCAATAGAATATAAAAGAATAAAATAGAACAGAAAATAAATGAATAGAATAGAAAAATATAAAGAATAGCATAAAATATAAAGAATATAGCTGTCTTCCGAAGTTTGAATTTTGAAATTTGAATTTAGAAAATAGGATAAAATATATTTATCTTTCAAAATTTTTATTTCAAATAGAATAGAAAGAATATAGCCACCCTTCGAAATTCGAATTTCAAAAAGAATTGAATAGAATAAAATAAAAAAATAAGATTAGAATAGAATAAAATAGAAAAGAATATAGTCATCTTCCGAAATTTTCAGATTTTAAATAGAACCAAGTATTCTTCACAATGAATTTAGATTTATTCGATATTTTCATTTCATGTTCCATTCAAATACTTCACATCCACTGGAAAAAGTCTACTTTGGTTGAAAATGAAAAAAACAAAAACAAAATGAAACAAAACTAATTTTGTTACGAATGCAAGTTAACAAAATTAGTAACTTACTGAATCGATTCTACGAATGTCCAAGATTAAGAAACTTAAAATATGGCTGTTATAGTAATCAGGACAAGAAAAAGAATAATAATACAGCAGGAAACTGAAACGCTAACAGAATCCAAAAGGAGCCTAAGCTCAGGCACCATCTTCGTTCACCGAGCTGAATTTGCATTTACAGTCTGGACACATCACAGACACACTAGTCCATGTTGTTTCAATTTAAATTTGGCAACATTGCTGCCATGTACTTATGGTGAGGGCATCTAGCCGCAGGAGAAGGATTGAGTGGCAGAGGGACTGTACTTTTACTGTGCATCCAAAACATAACTCAAAAACTCAGTAACTAAAGATGTGACAATACCCAGCAGTCCATGAATAATTTTAGCAAGGGTCCATTGACCACCTTTATTCTAGCCATACTTTGGGCAATATCAGCCACTTTTAACCAGTTTTTGGAAGCAAAGATGACCAAAACTTAAGGCAACCTACCACAGTGGTACCAAAACCATTAAAATAACTGGTTTGCACTTTTTTGCATTGATCCATTCAATGACTTTAAAAAGCTGGGCAGAAATGGTTGAAATTTCAACAACTTTTTCTAGCATTAGACCTTTGCCTTATTTAAAAACCACTTGCCCTCCAGAGGATTTACCCCCCTACCTGACCAGGCCATTTTTTGTGATACGGCACTGCGTTACTTTAACTGAAAATTGTGCAGTTATGCAACGCTGTACATAAATGAAATTTATGTATTTTTTTCCCCACAAATAGAACTTTCTTTTGATGGTATTTGATCACCTCTGCATTTTTTATTTTTCACACGCTATAAGCAAAAAAATAACCGACAATTTTGAAAAAAAAATATATATATTTTGGACTTTTTCCTATAAAACATATCCAATAAAAAAAATAAAAAAAATTCAATTTCTTCATAAATTTAGGCCAAAATTTATTCTGCTACATGTCTTAAAAAAAAAATCACAATAATTATATATTAATTGGTTTATGTGAAAGTTATAATGTCTACAAATGGCATTGTGCTGTTTTGCTTAGGAGACATGCTGCTTTATATCTTTCTTCTGTGCAGAGAGATACAAAGCAGCATGTCCATGCTGACACGAGAGAGACAATGTATAGTTTGCACACAGGTCTCTAACCTATCAGCTTTGCCAATGATCACCGAGTGCTAGCCGGGAATCGCAGGCTGGGACCTGGTGATTGACATCCCCAGCCATCATTAGCGGCTCCCCCTACCCAGAAATATACGTGATTTTTGCGCAGCCATGCCGCCCTGTAGCAGTACTGCTATATGACAATGGCAAGCGGTTAAAAAAAGCATTAGTATTACGTCATCAAAGAGAAATTGTAATATCTGAATCCCATAATAAAATACTTTTAGCATATGTGCAAGATTATATTTTTTCTAGTTAATTGTAACAAAATATCACTGTATCAATAAAACTGATTTGCTACTATAAAGGCTGCTGTAACTTAAAAAAAAAAAAAAGATTAAAAACATTTCCTCTAAAAATAATACCATTGCTGTTGGTTTTACTTTGCTGTGAGGAAGTGCATTACCATAAAATTGTAGTACAGTTCAGAGTGCATCTTGACTTTCTTACTTTCAGGTCACCTCTCATATCTCCAACCCACTACCCTGAGACAGCATTATTTATATCCTGTTCTAAGGTGAAAAGGGAGGCCTCTACTGAGCAATATGCTGCATCATACCTGTAAAAAGCAAACAAAAAACAAAGATGGCTGAGAAAAGTTAAAATATTTATACTTACCTCACTCTGATTACCATACTGAACAGTGTAATGTCATGAAGGCTGAGTATTTCAGATCTTGCGAGAAGACTGTCCATTATAATCTCATGAGGTTCGGGACCCTCTAATCACAGGATTTCACTGGCAGGATCACTATGTCACCCTCACACTAATGCCAAAACTGGGTTTAAGGCAAGTATATTTTCTAAATGTCCTTCAAGGGTATTTTTAAAGGTGTAATTCAGCATTTTGACATGGGCTAGGGGACCTAATCTAATAAATAGTTGTGGCTTTTTATTGACAGGTCCACTTATAAACATAAGACAAAATAACTCACATACAATTCACCTAAACCATTCTACAGCCTTTTGATAAATGTATTTATTTCTAATTATCCATTGAAACATTACAACAGTATGTAAATATCCTTCTCCCTGCTTTGGCAACTAATGGTTTGCTTAATGCCAAACAAGGTTGTTATGGTCAAATGGGAAATTAGATTGGAGCCAGAAAATAATTAGTTTATAACATGTTTCATATGTTTCTTGAGAGTTAATGCTA